GGCGAGGCTGGACACCCGAGTGCTGAGGAATGCCTGCTCCTCAGGCCTTTGCATGGCAGGATCGTGGTATTTCTGGGGCGCTGTCATTGTTCTTTAAAACGAAGGAACGGGAGAAAGCCTCTCCCTGTGACAGGAGCGGGATTAACAGAGTTAGGAATACAGTAGCCTGCAGTTCGCTGGCTGATCCAGGGAAGACATCACGCACGCTCGATTTCAGGTTTCACCCACAGGACACCTGCCCGCAGGTCTCCCACAACCTGGAACACAGGCATGATGGCTGAGGAGCCTTCAGAAGTGCCCGTGACAGTCATTCCGTTTCCTAACCTCCAGTTTCTCATGAATTTATCCTGTGTCAGGAAGCCATCGTATGTGGCAGATTGCTTAGAGCAGCTCTGTCTGGCAGGAGGAAAAAAAAAAAGAAAAAAAAATATATATGAGATACACATGTAATTTTAAATATTCTAGTAGCTTTATTTATTTGTTTTTAACATATTTTTTAAAAATTGATTTCAGAGAGGAAGGGAGAGGGAGAGAGAGATGGAAACATCAGTAATGAGAGAGAATCATTGATTGGCTGCCTCCTGGATGCCCCACACTGGGAATTGAGCCTGCAACCTGGGCTTGTGCCCTGACTGGGAATTGAACCGTGACCTTCTGGTTCATAGATTGAAGCTCAACTACTACGAAGCCATGCTAACCAGGCTCCAGTAGCTTTATTTAAAAAAAAAAATGTTAAAGAAACAAATGCGAGTTAATATAATAATATTTTATTTTGAATATTATTTCTATATCAGTTAATTTTAGTTACTCATGGTGCACTTATTTTTTGCTACTAAATCATTGAAACGGAGTGTGTGTTTTATACTTACAGTGCATCTCAGTTCAGGACTAGCCCTGTTTCGAGTGCTGAGCGGCCACACGTGGTGATGGCTGTTGGAGAGGCAGTTTTCAAGTGTGGTGCTCTTACCACCTTTACCATTTGACTATTGGGCACATTGAACCTTTTAGGCCATTATTATTGGCATCTTATAAAATCTGGCTACTCAATGATTATTTGTAATATTTTTATTACGGAGCAATGCTTTTCAGTAAATATCCTGAGTATTGATTAGGGGACTCTGAAAAAAAAATTATTGGTCTCTCGCCATACATTTCTCTCCATAAAATGTATGAATGCTGATTTTGAAAAAAAGGAAAGCAGATGGCTCCCACGGTTTGAGGGCTGTCAGACCGTTTAACTAGGCCGCACTGTGTATTCCTCACGGCGGCTCTGTGATGTGGATATTACCACTTGCATTTTGCTGGGAGGAATTTGAGGTCAAATACATGATTTATGGTCATTCTCTTAGGGAAGGGGGGACAGTGCACGGATTTGATTCCGGGTTTGCCTGCATCCTAACTCGGAGCTTAGTCACCCCATCCTCAGCCACCTCCCTCTGGGTCTCCGTGCTCGTGGCTGGGTGGCTCTTTCTAATCACATGCCCCTCAGAAGTCATGTCACAATGGAAGCGGCACTTTGGGCAGCACCAATACTGACAGTTGGGAAAGCATTTTTCTGGGAGAGAATGCCTCCCGCTTATCTGGCCTCTATGACAACAGCATTCACCACGCAGCCCCGTCGGCAGAACCACGTGTGGTTTTTTCCAATGGCCGTGGCTCCGTGCCTTCTCCTGCATTACACTCCCGGCTCCCTCCCCTCCCACAACTGTAAAAGGCTTAGCGAGGCTTCCGACTAAAGGCTCAAAGGTCTCCGCTGATCATCTGGAAATGGGTCCGCGCTGCAGGCAGGAAGCAGGCATGAGCTCTGGACGTAGGGCTGGGGAGCAAGGGCTGTTTTCCCTTCGTGGTTATTTCTAACTTTGGTTGTCAGAGCATTTGGGTTTTACACAGCTCTTGTCTCTCTTCTCTCATCGGACTTCTCTTGTGATTTTCCCCGTTCTTCATTCATGTTTGAAAGTGCTTTCCAAAGAGTCTCTGTGTTTTCATCTGTTGCCACTTTTTCCCTTTTTCTTTCTTTTTTCTCATTTTGCCTGGAGAGAGGGAGAGAGTGTGTGTGTGAATAGGGGGGCGGGCAGAGGGGGAAAGGGAAAGCAAAGGGATAAAACACCTTCTTTTGGAATACATTCTTATACATTCTTTTAGCATCTTCCCACCCCCCACAGAGTTGCTTCCAAAGGCTTTGAGAACCTGGACGGTAATGTTGTTCTTCCCCACAACTGCCCTCGATTGTACTGTTTTTCATCTCTCTTGTCACTGTCACTGGGAATTGAGTTTGTTTTTCCTGTTGTCCCCTTCTTTTGTAAGGGTTGTACCTCATTGTCAAAATTTCTTAACTGTTTGAAATCCTTGCGAAGAGGTACATTTTTCTAGGGATCAAATATAACCTGTTTAGGATTTTCTTTGTTATCTCATACCTAGGGACTTCAGAACACATTTATTATCGCACCTTTCTGGTTAATATTGTGTTATTTTATACATTACCTCAAAGCCCTTGTTTTTTTTTCCTTCCTATCAAAGTAGGGGAGGCCTGTGAGGGATGGGTGTTTGCTCTTTGACTCCGAGGGGTTATGGTTATCATGTCAGACAGCAACTGCTTCCTCCAGTCACTGAACTAAAATGTTTGGGAGGGATTTCGGTCACTGACACTTCACGGAGTAGACCCCTGTGCTACCTTGCTGTATTTCATATTGAGCTCATTGAACTATGAATACCGTATTTAAGAATTAATAGGGTCTTAAGTTTTCTCCATCGACCCTGCACTTGAGGAGGATTTATGGTTCCTGAGGAATGGCTATGTAATAGGTCCCCGAGCCCCTGGACTCACGGGAAGGTGTTCTCTGTGACTCCCAGATGTGTGACACCCAGGTTTGGCATTAGGAACTGCACCTGGATTGTCAGCATTGAGACTCATGTACACGCAGGTGTCAGTGGAGAGGTGGCTCATGGCACCCCTGCCGACACGGCCCTATGTGTGCATGTTTTATATTGAAATCTTTAAAAGAAGAAATCCACCTGCTTCCTCAGACAGAGCTTAGGTACCCGTATGTGAGAGCTAAAAGGTCTAAAGGGGGACTGCTCCCTGCCGGGGGAGCCTCTCAGGAGGGGGTCCTATAAAATGCTGTTATTCTTGCTTCGGAAGATTTTACAGCCACTGCAACTGCATGGAGGGCAGCAGCCAATCAGACTTGCTCTCACTTGTCTCCCTGGTGCCACGGGGGACACCTGGCACACGGTAGGTGCTCAGGGAATACACATGGGATACCTGAATGAGATACTTGGTAGGAAATCTAGTTTTTACTACTCATTGCACGTCTTCCTTACATTTGGGAATACACCGGGCATAAATAGATAAGAAAGCATTTCTTTAAAAGTGTATGTTGTAAGGCACCCCGTGGCCAGGCTGCATTCTCTAATTTGTCCAGAACCGTCAGTCTGCTCCATCCTTATTTCCTGTTTCCCATAAGTCACCCATCGATGGTGCCTTCGGTCTGAGCAGCGCCAGTGCTTTGCTGTTGTCCAGAGCGGACCCTGAGTCAGGGATGAGGCGGTGCGACCTGTTAGAGTGTTGTGCCGGCTTAATACCGATTACCCCGATCCCTAATGATAGCAGCTCCTAATGAGTGTTATTACTGTTAATAAGGATTGCACTTAATAATGACACCCAATACTTAGGATCTTTAATAATAATAATTAGCACCTGGGAAACAGTCGTGCCTTCATATTATCTTCAGAACAAAAACCTGTGAGCTGGAGTGTCTGCTGCCTCCCTCTCTGTCCAGATGGGCATGAGTCAGGCTGCCCAGGTCCGGCCACAGGGAAGGGCTCCACGCCCCCCCCCCCCAACACCCCCTCCTCCGCACAGCATGGTGCAGAAGGGTCCTCTTCAGAGGGAGGGGCCTTCACAGTGACACGCACCCCCATCCCCCCTCTCTCCGCCTGCCCCCCATCCTTCGGAACTTTGGGTCTTCCTTGCACAGAGAGAAGACCCAGAGCCCACTGTGAGTCCATCACATCCCTATTGGAGCAGGTCCCATGGGACAGAGTCCGTGCTTATTGCTTGTATGTTGGTGAAACGTTGATCTTCTCATGCCTTGGCTATGTTTAGATTCAAACTCCTGTACAACTTTATTTTATTTTATTTTTTTTAATAAAAAAAAAACACAGTGTATAAAAATCTTTGGCAAATTAAGCATTTTTTTAGCGTTTCACACTTAGATACAAAGCAGAGAAATATTTCAGTGACAACAGATTTCAACAGATTTTTTAACGAGGCTAATTTGCTTTATTCTTTGGGGGAGTTTACTTCTTTTTTCCAAAAACACAAGGAGAGACAGTCCCCCTCCCAGGGGTCATGGGTGTAGGCGGATAAAAATCGTAATATTAAAGAAGACAGAGTTTTTTCATTCCGATGAATATGGTGGCCTGAGCTCACCATCCGTCCAGGCGTTCAGGGACGGCTTATTGCAGGCTCACGGATGACCTATTCATCAGGATTTAGAAACGTAAGATAGACAGGAGAAGCGGCTCTTCCACGCCTTTTGAGGTTCTGGTACAGGGTCACACCATGGCACAGGCCCTGAAGTCCAGCCTACCGTCCTACTGGGAAATGTACAGCCCTTTCCGATCTGACCTGGAAATACTCGTCCTGATGGATAGTTAATGATAAAACCACGGACTGGAAGGGGAAGGGTGTGTGTGGGGGGCCCTCAGGCCACCGCCTGGACCTCACCTGTGTGCCACCTGGGAACTCGGGTGCGGCTCTCCACTTAATGACTAGCATCGGAGGCCTCCTGCCATGGCCGGGGCAGGCTGGCCGGCCTGAGGGTAATAAAGGAGGGAGGACAGCTCTCCCATTAGGCCCACCTGACCGAGAGGCTTGTGCAATCTAAACCCTCACGGGTCACAGATGAGTGGCTTTTACGACTGTCGTCTCTTCCCTTGCGGTGACCGAGATGCGCCTGGTAATGTTTGCGTTTTGCTCTTGCCCCGTGTCCCCCCAGGGCTGATGATTCCTGTCTTCTGCGTGGTGGAGCAGTTGGACGGCTCTCTCGAATATGACAACAGAGAAGAACACGCTGAGTTCGTGCTGGTTCGGAAGGACGTGCTCTTCAGCCAGCTGGTGGAGACGGCGCTGCTGGCCCTGGGCTACTCACACAGCTCCGCGGCCCAGGCCCAAGGTATGGTCCTCCGCCCTGGGCCGCATGCTTCTGCCCTCCCGGTGTGCGGAAGGGTGTGTTTCCCGGAGTCATTCTCCCAACAAGGACTGGGAGAAGATGGATGGTCAAATGGAGCATCTTGCTCAAGCAGTGAGCAGCAGAATATTTTGTGCAGAGTCTTTTCTAAAAAAATAAATAAATAAAATAAATGTATTTTTATTGATTTCAGAGAGGAAGGGAGAGGGAGAGAGAAGCATCAGTGATGAGAGAGAATCATGGGTCGGCTGCCTCCTGCACTCCCCACACTGGGGGTCTAGCCTGCAACCCAGGCATGTGCCCTGACTGGGAATCGAACCGTGACCTCCTGGTTCATAGGTCAATGCCCCATCCCTGAGTCACTCTTGGCAGTGGAGTCTCATGTTCTGGTTGCCTTAGGAAAGATTGGACCAGCACCTCCAGAGCCCCCCAAATCGCCTTGCATTTCAAAGGGATCCCCCACGGTGCTTCTGATGGTTTGTTTTTCATTGATAACTGCGGTATTTCCCCTAAGTCCCCAAGATGGGTATGTTTTTGAGTTGGGATTGAAGTGTTTCATCCCTAACTTGCCAAACTTTAGCACATGATTTATAAGCGCTCATTTTTAAAAAAATGTGTTCACTGCAACTTCCGCACTTTACAATCGGCTTTTCATTAAATAGGCAAAAAATGGATGCATCTGATTTTTGTGTCTTTGAATACTGCTTTGTGGTTTTGATGTGATCCATTCTTTAAAAAAAAAAAAAAAGAAGAAGAAGAAAAAAAAAAGAAACCTCAGAGTTATTGTGATCAATCCCACTTACCTATTTAATTGGGTATTGAAACGGCATTGGGATTTCAGCGTGCCTGCGGCGCGGAGCCCATTGTTCTCCTGCCAAAGGACGCACAGAGCAAACAACAACAAAAACAGCCCGGAACCTTGAAGAATAGAAAAAAATTTTTCTTGACTCAATGGAATGCTTATCCTTGTTTTCCAGCTGAAATGACTGAGTTGCATAGTTTATGACAATAGTTACAACTAGCGGAGAGAAACCTGGGACTGAGGGGTTTTGTTTTCTGTCCCAGTTTCCTACATCTACTCCTGTCAATGGCCATCTTCACCCGTGTGGATGTGCCAGGGGCCTTTGCTGTTTTGCGGATGAGTTCCCCTTCCAGAAACTCCTAAGAACTGTCAGTCAGAACATCTATTTGTTCCGATAAGGACACCAGGGGAGGTGGAGCTGTCCATGCGGAGTAACAAATAGGGTGACCGAGGACACGAGGTTTCAGTGCTCAAGCTCTGGACCCTGATTTTGTAAGCTGATCATTCATTACCTTAAAAAATGCTGTCATGAAGTAGCTGAATTCTATCTCAGTTCTACCAAAATAACCACCCCTCCAGAAACAGGGGGTCCAGGAGGTGGGACTCCTGTGAGCCCAAGTGCCTTCCAAACCCCACCTGGAGTGCCAGGCAGGCCGCTGCCGCCTACAGAGCATGGTGGCATCCACTGCTCTGCCTACAGCCCATCCTGGCGTCCGCTGCTCTCACAGCAGCTCAGGGAAGGAGGGTCCGGCTCCTTTCCCCGAGGACCACCTTCCTTCTGGTGGGAAGGATTCAGGAGGTGATCGCCAGCAAATTGCCCGCTGGCAGCACGCTTTCATTCCATGCTATGGAATAAAGGGTTCGCCCCTTCCCCCGCCCCCTCAACGTTTCATGCCATTTTAGGGATATTTCTCTCTGAATGTAAAGGTCATTGTCTCCCACTGCTTGCATCCTGGCGTGCCAGCTTCCTGCCTGACAGGCTATCCATCTCCGTTAGCAGGCTGCTCAGCGCGCCGTGAGCCCACATGTGGAGCGCGCAGCGCTAAGTGGCCGAGATTCGCTTCTTGGCACGGGCCCCGGGAAGGGGCGCAGGAAGTGTGCACCGGGCAGCCACTGCGTTCCACCCAGTGGTGCGGACGAGAGCCCTGCACACACACACACACACACACACACACACACACACCCACCCAGCCGCCCAGTGTGGCCTGCTGGCAGGAAAGACGGCCGCAGTGGAGCCTTACACTGTGGGCAAGTTAAAGCGAATGTCCGCCTCCCCAAAGTTGGTGAAAACCCGGGTTTAAAAAACTCAAGCTATTGCACGTTTAAAACGTCGAATTGCCGTTTGGAAGGAGCCCTGGGTCACAGTTGTGCTTTGCTGTGTAGCTAAGCCAAAGTCTTACTCTCTAGCTCCTGCCCTGTCACCTCGCAGAGGAAGCAGAAGCCACAGTGTGTGCGGTCCGCTTTGCATCAGGCCGCTTGGTCTCTGCGGTGGGCGCCCGGGAACATTTGCTTGGAGACGAGTGCATTAGGTCTTTGCTGTCCTTTACATCATGGGGGGTCTGTCCCGTTGGCTGCTTGTTGTTATGGAACGAGCAGAGTGCATGATGGGACGGTCGGGCAGCAGAGTGGGAGGCGGCTGGGAGAGGCAGCAGGGTTCGAGGCCTGAGGTTTCACATCTCTCGTTTTCTGGTTTGTTTGGTGTTGGTTCTGGCTGTGAGCGTTTAGGCAATTCCCCAAGGGGTGGGGAGCCCCAGCCAGTCCTCTGCCACCTGGGATGGCCTGTCCCGAGCCCTTCCTGCGGGCTCCGTGCACCTGCTGTGGAGCTGGAGGCCTTGAGGCCCGATCTTCCCCGTGGCCGTGGCCGTGGCCGTGGCCGTGGCCGTGGCCTTGGCCAGAAACGAGTTGCGGTCATGGGGGTGGAATGGTACTCGCGGTGCCTTTAAAAGACCAGAGGGCTTCGCGGTGCCATTATTTGGGAGTGATGCTCAAGTCCCAGTGACGGCCCGGGCCCACGCTCCTGGGTGTGGGGCGATTCCTTTTTCTGGTTCTCAGGTTGTAATCAGGCATCCATACATGGCCCAGGCTTGTGGAACTGTTGTTGGGGACAGTAGAAGGAACCTGACAGAGGATTTTATTTTTATTTTTCCTATTGTTCCAGTTTTATTGATTTATTTAAGACTTTATTTTTATGTCGACATGATTACAGATGCCCCTTGGCCCAGCGCCACCTCCACCAGCACCCCCACCTCCACCAGCGCCCCCACCTCCACCAGCACCCCCACCTCCACCAGCGCCCCCACCTCCACCAGCGCCCCCACCTCCACCCCCACCCTTCTGGGAGAGGCAGTTTCTTTTTCTGAGAGGGCACAGCCTCTCAGAGGTTGTATTGATAAAGACAATTTACTTCCAAAGGATGATAGATGCTCCACTAACATGGAATTCAGAGATTTCCAACTCCCACCCTTACCCCCTTTTCATAGTAACTTTCTTTATTTCAAACCAGCAACTGGTTCCCAAGAGAGAGACAGGCACAGGATACATCATACATCACAGGCACTTTGCTCCCAGCCTACCAGAGCCTGCGCTTGCCAGCACACACGCCAGGAGCTGCGAGTGTCAGGGATGTGCGCTACGGGACGCAGCTGATCTGCTGCTTTGTGTATGCAAAGCGCTGAGGATGGCAGGCTCTTAGCTTTCCCCAGGAGAGGTGGGCTACGCTGCAGTGAACAGCAAGGGCATTTTATAGGGCACAGGAGGCTGTGTGTCCCTGTCTCTCAGCCAGAGTCTGCTGGTCTCTTGGAAGAGGGCTGTGACCCTAGGGGACTTCTATGCAGAAACCCCCACTTTCTTTTCCCACTTAAACTCATCACTCCATTCTTCTCCTTCCCCTGCCCTCCTCTGCCCTCTCCTCCCCTCCTTTCTTCCCTTCTCCTCTCTCCTTCCCTCCCCTCACTCTCCCAGAGTAATGCAACTATCACTACAGAATTAATTATATAAAATTTCACATATAAGCACAGAAAAAAAAAAGGTCAGGAAATATATTATGTCAACAGGGTGGATTAAGTGGGATTTTATCTTTTTTTTTCTAATCAGAAAACAGTATATAAATAGGAAATTCTACTTCATGAATTCTTCTCTGAAGAAGTAGGAAGTTTCTGCTTTATTCCCCCATTTTGATAACTAGTTCATGTTCATCCCTAATTTATCTGTAAATGTGAAAACTTGTACATAGTACAGATGCATTTCTCTTGTTTTATTCTGTTCCAGATTTTAAAAAGTCAGTAGGTCATGCATAGGTCCCTATGATGTATAAACCAAGGCATTCCTTAGAGTCTTCATAGTGCTAGGTGACACTGATTGAGCAGTTACTCTATGTCAGACACTATTCTAGAAGTTTCCATTCACTGAGTAATTTCATTTTCACAACAGCTCTTTTGAGTAAACTATGTTTCTCATTCCATAGATGAGGAAACTGAGGCAGATAAACAGGGGACTAACGTTCCCTGTGGTATAGGACTATCAGAGTCCTTCCCCACAGGCTGTCCTGTGACAGACATGATCAGTGGGAGTTTAGTTTATATTTATTAGATAATGACAAATTATGCATATTTTATTTCTATGATGTAATACATAGAGATGGTTTTTCAAGATAAGCAAAACATACCTCATTAAAAACAAATTAAGTAAATAAAAAAACAAAACAAACCTCACAGAATGTCTACTGCAAGTTGTGTAATGAATATACAATTCTTGCTTATGAAGCCAGGATGATTCCTGATATGAAAAGAAAGCACATTGCTTAGTGATTCTGATCTTCAAAAGTAATTAATTCAGCAATATTCAGTGCCTGCCACGTGCCAGTCACTTTGCTAGATTCTGGGGGTAAAAAACTGGGGGGAAAAAATCTCGTGTTCATGGAGCTTACATTTTGCAGTTTACTAACACACGCAGAGTGTGGAGTGTAGGTTACTAGTTGATTTTTGACCCTCTGAGCTCAGAAATATCAAATACTGAGGTTCAGAGAATAGCAATACATATAGAATTTGTTTATAATTTTGGTGCTAATTTATAATTAAATAAATAGCCCTGGCCAGTGTGGCTCAGTTGGTTGGAGTGTCGTCCCCCGCCCCCCCCACCCCCTGCACTGAAAGGTGGCAGGTTTGGTGAAGGGTCAGGACACAGA